CCAGTACAGTTATTTAACTACTGAAAATAATTATTGCATGGCTTCAAAATCACTATATTCATGGGTTTTTCAACATGATAATTTGTAGCAGTAAGTTATGCTTACTGACTGAGGTGATGACACAGGCTAGTAAGTCATTCTGGAATATGTATACGTCTGGAATATGTGATTCTGGACATGTGTGAAATAACCTTTCTCTGTGTCCTTTAGCACCAGTGATTGGAATGGAATATAATAATTGGAACCAAGGGACTGGGAGTCGTGACATCAGTACTTAATCGTTGCTTGGAGAACTATCCAATTAAAAGATAATGAATCAGTACTTTGCTTTGTCTGTGATTTGGCCTGTTACTTTAGAAAGAAAATAAAAATACATATATGCATACTTGATGTGCAATTAACTGGCATATTTGTGTAAGAATATAAGAATGAAATTTTAAGACATGTTGATACTATCAGTTAGAAAACTGAATGTAAGAAATATTACTTAAATTTGTTTTTCTTTTTTCCTTTTTTTTTTCTTTTTTTAAGGGTGAGCCAGGAAAGCCAGGTGAACAAGGATTGACAGTAAGTAGTCCTCTTTTCTAAGAGTTTGCTAAGAAATTTTAGCAGAATTCGTATATGCTTTTTAAAAGGTGTAACTCCAAAAAGCTTTATGGCTATTTGTTCCTTAGCCTTTCTTTGTCAAAGACTATTTGAAATCTTCTCTGTGAAGAAAACATGAGAAAGACAAATTTTCTCTTCTAGCATACAGTTGCCTGACATTCAAGGCCAGATTAGGCTAATATCAGCTTGCAGAAGCAGAGGAGAATAAAAAAAGATAGGTGCACAGCAAAGCAAAAGAGCCAGCTCAGTTGTTCCCCACTTGCAAAGCCCCACGCCTGGAGGTTCCCATTTGTCACTGCCTCCAAAGTTGAGCTGTTTCCTCCTTGGGAGCAATGGAGAGCAGAATAGCTGTCTACTTGCTTAAAGGGTAAAATCCCAGTTATGGATGGCAACAATTCTGGCCCCTTTCCTGCAAGAACAGTGAATATGCAACTGTGCGTACTGAAACTCTTAGATTATTCTTCCTGATACCTCCTTTTTTCCCCGTGTGTAGGGGAATATAACAAAGGAATATGTTTTTAAAAAATATTCAGATATGGGAATAGATGTTTTCTGTTGCATCAAGATCTAATTAATCCTATTTATTTGGAAACAAATTGAAGCTCCACTGCTTTTCAACCAGCTTCAGCCACAGGGTAAGGCATCAGAAATTTCTGAATGTCACATATTCCCAGCCAGTGAGGCATGCAGTGTTTTTTTTTTCCCCTTAAAATCTCCCTAAACACTCATGGTCACTCCTGTTTTTCTATGAGAGATGACAGAATTATAGCCCATGGCGCATGGTTTTGATTCCTGAATGCTTCTGAGTGGGAAGATTCTGAGCTCAGCAGTCTCATTGGATATAGTTGCTCTCTGTTTGAATTCATGAAGTTTTACACAGGTATGATGGTACATTACTGCTGCAAATTGCAGAACATTTTGGATTGTAATGGACACATATTTGTCACAGAAGATGAAGCTTAGATTCTTAGAGGCTGAAATATCCAGCTGTGATCAGGTAGTTAAAATCCTGTAGCTTTTCATTTAAGGATAATTATTTAACAAAACAAAACCTAAGGACTCCCAAAGGGAACACTGAGAGTTTCAGCAAGTTTACTGTGTTATTTTTAGTTCTGTCCTTTTGATTTTTCATTGCCTATTGTTAATAATGTGCATAATAGCTATGTAGGTTGTTTGCTTGCTTCATTTTGTTTGTAACGCTCTTCTGTTTGCCCTCTGGATCAAATTCGCTCAGGTACTATAACAGATTTTTCCTTCTCTTCAAGATTAGATCTTCAGGATCACAAAATTGCAGAGATTATATTAGAGCAAAACAATGTTGATCACTTTTTATTCCCCACGCTCAGAGGATTCCCATTATTCTAAAGTAACAAGCTCTATATAAGTACGAAAGAACTGTTGCTCATCTGTTCCTGTACCTTACTCATGACGGTGTGATTAAACGGTGTTTTGAAAAGCAAATGAGCAAACTGAGTTAGAAGAAGGTTCCAAATTACTTGAATTCCTAAGCCCCAAATGCCAGGTCTAAAAGTATTCTGGTTTTTAGTGTTAAGTTGTGTATAGATCAAGTACAGAATGTCAGAATATCAGGAAGGCAATTAATTTCTTTTTGTTTCTCTTACTGCCCTTGATACACCTTTTATGCCAGTACAAATTTTCAGATTGTCATCACTGTGGAAGTTGCTACAGTTACTCATGTACTCTCCAGCTTCTTCTGACGCTTTCCATCATGTATTTCTGTGCATTTCCATATTTTAAGTGGAGATGCCACTGCAGAAATGCACACTCCCACTGATGGAGTGTGCATTGGTTTTCTGCTTGCCCACATCTTCAAGCCACATCTTCAGTAAGAAACTAAGCACTGTGGCTTGTGCTCTGGTTCTTCCAGGATTGAGCCAGAATACAGTCAAGGTGAGCACTAGATGCTGTGAAACAAACCCTACAGTTTGCATGTGTTTGCTAAAGTTGGTGAAAGTCAGGCAGTTTATATCCTGTAGGATCATACTGTCATTGTCATTAAAATCAGTCATGCTGTTCAGTGAAAAAGAGCTTGCAGGCCTGAGCTCTATCTTGCAATGATGGTGTTAGAAGTTGGTTTTATTCAACAATGTTTTGTCAACTGTATTTGGTATTTTTAGGTGAATGTACAAAACATTATTAGAGCTGATAAACTAAGCTTAAATCTCTGGACCAGCAACTGCACAGCTTAAAATCACTTGATTTTCTCTTTTCTGTTCTTCTAAGCAGAGGAATAAAATTCTTGAAGAGTGAGAGATAGTAGATAATGAGATAATAGCATGTTTTCTAGCTTGTGTCTCTGAATGCACCACAAGCCCATTACACCATGTTGAGTAACATGTGACATACTCGCACAGTGTGTGCCTCCATTCACAAAAAGTTTAAAACCTTTGAATGCACATGGAGTTTTGGGAAGTGTTCACATTCTCATTTCAGCCAAATAGGAAATTCAGTCTCTGGTAAAGACATGGTAATTTAGTCCAACTGAGAATCTGCTGCCACTTCCTCCCCTGTTTTCAGTAAAGTTCTGTGTCAATAAAGTAAATCATGTTTCAGATGATGTTAGGTGAGAGGGCAGTAATAACTCAGTGCCTTGCTCCATCTCCGGCAGTGAAGGTAGATACAGAGAATGACAGTGTCTGAGGTCTCATGAGGCAGCTCAGCCTCTCTTGAGTGTGGAAAGGAGTGTGCCTTGAGGATGGAATGGCTTCTCTTTTTTTGCTATTTACAATGTAAGTGTGTGTGGGTTTGAGTAGGGTTAGGGAAGAGTTGGGTTGAAAAACCCGTTGTTGCTTCCAGAGATCTCGTCATGCTCCGTTTTCAAGATTGCTACAGTGCCATTCTGCTTCTATTGCTCCCCTGTGATGTGGTTGTGGAGAGCTGCTGTCTCCAAGGTTTTTCAGTTCTATTTGTATGTCAGGAAGGAACAATTTCCTTTAAGAGGCAAGTAGGGAGTGAGAGAGTACAGTTGGCTTTTGGCATGATGGAGGCTTAGGTTTACATTAAAAAGGAGTATGTATCCTTAATATTAGAAGGGAATATAAGAATGGCTAGTTAGTTGCAGGTTGTGTTTCTTTTGTAGGACACTTACAAGCACTGAACACCCACTCTCAAAAAATGTGGGAGAGATCTGAAGTTTTCCCCTGCCTTAAAGAGTTCTTGAAGGGAACTCCTAAGAACTCTTGGATGAGTTCTCTCATTCTTCCTTGCAGACAGAAGTAAGAGAATGCAGAGGGAGGATGAGTGGTGGGGTGACACCCAAGGGGCAGGAAATTTTGAAATGTCATGGAGAACTAGCAAAATGTCTCCTATACAAGAGGCAAGGCCTGTAGTTCGCTTTGCTTTTCACCCTTTTCTGTTAAAGATGTATGCTACTTCTCATAATTCATCTCTCTGCCCATAGGATCTTCCTGGTCTTTTCTGGCAGTAAGGACTTTTAAATGCCATATGAAAAATCTTCTGCTATATCTTCGTTTTTAGATGGAACATGAACGAATTTCGTGATTCTTCTAAACTTGCAACTTGAATAGGTGCAAACTATTAATGAGTACTTAAATTGTGGTCAGTGACAAGAAAACTCAAAAGCTTGATACTGGTAGATTTCACACTGTTAAATATAGAAGACACTGCTTGGGATATTCTTGTTTCTGATTTACATACTGGAAGGTTTTTTTTGAACATTATTCATGCTTTCGTGTTTAGATCTGCTTTAAAATAGTACACAGTGGTAAAAAAAAATGTGTAATATTAAAAAAGCGTGGTGATTTCAATCCCTTGTAAAATAAGTCAATCTTAAACATGTTTACTGTATGAATCAACCACTTATTGTCACTGAAAAAATACTTACTAATATTTTCGCCAGAAATTGGATTTAAAATCACGTAAGTAATTTTACAGCTGTTTGCAAGAGCAGGACAGTCCAAAACAGTGACAGCACTCAGGTAAAGGAAGGGCAGCAGTGACAGCACTCAGGTACAAAGGAAATCAATATTATATGACTAACTGAAACACAAAATCCCTCTGCTTAAGATGTACTGTTTGCCAAATAGCAGTTTTGTGCTTACTCAGGCTTCTTGGGCATGTGTTCAATAAAACCAGATCTGGTGTTATTGTTTTTCCTAGTTATTCAAAAAAAGGAGGTCTGACCTTCTTCCCAAGAATATGTGAACAACAACAGAAAAGAGCAACTTTGCAGTTAACTGTGCAAAGCATATTTAAAATGAATTAATACTGATTTTTAATCTGATGTAAAAAATGAACAAAATGAATGCTGAGAAAGCAGAACTGACTGGGAAGCTGCTCACTTGAATTCACCCTTTCAGGTCCACAGCCAAGGCTGGATCTGTTAGTCCTTGTTAGTTCCTTTGAGAAATTGTTGATATTTTGTTTTCAATAGGCAGAGGTTTGCTGCAGCGCTCTCTGCTTCACTCTGCCAGCACATTCATACTAATTTTTTCAAGGAGCTGCTCTCAATTTTTTTAGCTGAAAAAGTCTGTAACAAACTATCACAGTCAATGCCTCAGTGCATCTTAAGAAAAAATAGTCTTTGGCATTTTGTAACCTCTGTACTTTAGTAACTGTTGTGTGGAATGTCAGAGCAATGATTAGGGGAATGATGATGATGTTTGTTGGGTAAAACATAGCGTTGCATCCTGATACCTTTAATGAGCTATGTGGAGAGATACTGAGCTATATGCTTCTCCCAGCCTTAAAAATACTTGGTTGCATAAACCTTGTTTTTATACTGCCAAGCAGATACATTACTGCAGATGCACAACTGGCTTTTAGCTAGTGTCAGAAACAGAAGAACTTCGATCTTCTTAATGATGACTGATTTGTCATTATTGGGAGAAACAGATGGGATGGAATATTAGAAGACGGGGAAGTTTGAATCTTCCAGTTAGTAGTTATATCTGTTCCAAAAGAGAAGAGAAAAAGTCCATTGTACAGCAGAAAGTTTTACTTTCCCTTGATACATAAAACATCAGCTGGTTCCAGTCTAGTCTCAGACTGCTTTTGCAATAGGACACTTTTAATTGGTCATTTTTAAGTCGGCTGCAGTTATTATGTTAATTGAGTTGTTTTTCCATTTGCAGGGACCTCAGGGGCCTGCAGGACAAAAGGTAAAGTATGTACAACAGTGTTGGGGAAGATTTATTCTTCCTGGTGCTAAATTGTGAGCAGAAAAGGTGGATGGAATTAGCTACTGTACCCCACATGGGAGGAGTTAGGTTGGGCTCTGAACTTTGCTTTTGTGAAGTGCAACCATATGATGCAAAACGTAAGATTTCTAATTTCCTCATTGTAGGAAGTTCAAGCAATGCGAAGCAGACTGTTTTCAATCTGTCTCTTAACTTTTAGGTGAAAAGGTTACTACAATTTTCTCATTCATGCACTAGTACAACCATGAAACCAAAGTTAAAACATTGTGAAAAGTGGAGAGATAGAGTTTCTGATTAAATGCCTTACTCAAGTAGATCAGTGCCATATGACTAAAAATCTGACCAGCAGAAACAAAGGACGTAGGTGTTGGTGATAAATGATATTCGGTTGGCTGTGCTCAGGTGGTCTGCTGGTGTCTTCCTGTTTCTTCAGGAACCTGAGAACTGACTTCCTGTAAATGATTTCAGCATTATTTACACTTATTAAAACTGACTGCCCCAGTTTGATGGAGTGAGCTTAGGATTTACAGAACTGTGCCATTAAAACAATCCTAAATATATCGGCAATAGCAGCCACTAAGTGGCACTTTTCCAGCGTCTAACTGCATACCACCAAGGCAGATCATTTTCAAAAGGCGTTTCAAAAGATGAAAAGTGTTACAGAAAAGATGTAATAAAATTGTCGTAATTTATGTAAAGAAACAAAAGAAAAGAAAGCAATAAGTAGTTCTAAGATATGTGGGAAAGGTGTTCCCTCTCTTTTTCTCTGTCTGAGTTAATATCCGCTTCTTTAAAGCGAAGGCTTGTTTGCTTCTGTTAAAGTAGAATTTTTTGAACAAAAGAAAGAAAACTGCTTATATATAAAAAGCATACAAATAAGTGCAATTTCTGTCAGCTATGAGCAGGACAGAGCTCGCAAATTGAGGGAGAAGGCTGTGCTTTGTGATTAGAAATGTAAGAATGTAACATTAAATGCTGCCATTATAAAATTATTCCTTAAGATCCTGGTGGTGTATTTAACCTGTATAGCATCAGCAAAATTCATGTGATGATGTATTTTTAAAAATATGATAAACAACTGCTTTCTTAAGGGTGTGATATAATCAATATTATTTATGCTTTCTAGCATAAATAGAAAAAAAAAGAAAAATCAGTAGGTGTTTAAGGCTGTTGACAGCAGGAA